ATATATGTTAAAATAAATAAAAAACAATTTCTCTTTATATTTAATAAAAAATTGGATGGAATAAAGTAGGAATTGGACATCAGAGAAAGAAACATATTTAATTAGAAAATAAAAAAGACAGAAATGAAGGTATAATTTTAAAATTGTTAAAAAAAAAGAAATTTTTTAATTAGAAAATAAAAAAAGAGAGAAATGACGGTATAATTTTAAAATTGTTAAAAAGAAATTAAATTTATTTCTAAAAATTTACACATACCTTTCAGTATTAAAACAGTGTCAAAAATTTGATATTACAATCGAAACAAACTTAATGCATTAGTTGCTAAAAATGAAATTCTGCAAATTTAAATGTGTTTCTTTAAATGCTTCTTTCATTTCCATTCAAAAATTTTAATAAAAAAAAAGCAAACAAACAAATGTAAAGAGCAAATTAATTTATGCTTTTGAAATTTAATAAATTATAAATGAAATATCAATAATATCAGTAAAGGTAGTAATTTTGATTCTGAAATTTTTATAAATTAAAACAATTTAAAATGCAATAAGTGATTTTGATTTCTAGCATTACAGAATTATTTTTGCATGCTAATTTCACTTCAATTTCTTTCATTTTCCATTTCTTTTTTCACTTTTTTATTTTTTTTGTTTCATTTTTGCTTCTCTAAATGAAACTTTTGTTTTTCGAAAAAATCATTTCAATTTAATTTCAATTACATATTTCGAATTTATTATCTAATCACTTTACCCTTATCAATTAATTATCATTAAAATTCTTACACCACTTTCTCTTTGCAACTTTTTCCATCAATCCTAAAACTTTTCTTTTTTTTTCATTTTCATTTTATTCTCTCTCTCTCTCTCTCCCAAATTAATATCGTTTATAAAAAAACATTAAATTATTTTTATTATTGGTCAGTTTCAACTAATTTGAAAGTTTGAAAAAAGCAAATTTTTTATTCAAAACTATTAGTGTTATTAATATTATTATTATTATTATTATTATTATTATTATTATTATTATTATTATTATTATTATTATTATTATTATTATTATTATTATTATTATTATTATTATTATTATTATTAATGTCATTGCTGCTGTTATTGTTGTCTTTGTTGTTATTGTTATTGTTTATATTATAAAAATTATTATTTGTAAATTAACAAAAGCAAAATTTTCATCTCACCTTTTTGCTATCTTTTTTGTTCCTTTTTTGCATTTTTTTTTCTTTCGTTCCTTATAAAAGTACAAATTTCTCTCTCTCTCTCTCTCTTTTTTTATTTCCTTTAAATTACCAATTTAAATATGAAATCAATCTTCAATGTCGTCCTTTTCCTCATTTTCCTCAGTTTAATTCTTTGTTATCAAATGACCTCATCAAAGTAAAATATTAAAAAAACTGGAAACTAATTTAATTTATTCATTCTTTTTTCTTTTTCTTCCTATTTTCTCTTTTACAAAATTCAATCAGAAAATTTAACGATATTTCCTGATAAGTCATCAATGATAAATTACATTGATAGTAAATTTGCAAAAAAAAAAAAAAAAGAAGAGTATAATATACATTCTTTTTGATGGAATAACAAATTCGAGAAAGAATGAGGCGCAAAAAGCGCAATTCTTTTTTTAATTAAAAAAAAAAAAGAAAGAAAGAAAAATGCATTTCGATGAAATTTCCTCTTTAACTGTTTACTGTTTAGTGATGACCTCCTATTGTTTCGAATATTTTCGAGGTTTCAAAGTAATCGGCAAGGAGTAAAATAAGGACATCTATTTTTCTCTACTTTTTTAAATTTTATTTTTTTTTTAAATTTCAATTTTAAATTGCACCGGTTTTATTACAAAATATTCTGCTAAAAATTGTCACAATAAACTTATTTAAAAAAAAAAAAAACCTATTAAAGAAAATTTTAACATTGTTATTTTAATTTATCACAATGATTTAAACTTATTTTTCCTACATCATAAAAAATCATTGATAGTTTGATTATCCTAAAATTAAAAAAAGTTTCCTAAAATGAGAAATTTCAGCAAAATTATAAAGAAAAAAGAATTTGTAGTATTAAAAGCAGCAAAAAATCTATTATATAATCAGAAAAACAATATTCATTTTAAATAAAATTAAATTCAATTAAGCGAAGTTCATTTTATGCATCATAAGTTTGTGATAATTGTGATTTTCAGTTTATCTTTTTAATTTGATAGATTTTTTTTTATAAAAAATTTAAATGGAAATGAAGAATAATAATCATAAAAATTCATCATCATAAGACTGCCAAGTAATTTTCCAATAATAATAAAATTTCTTTGAAATGGAAAAGGAAAAACAGAAAATTCGATCATTGTAATGGAATGTGAACTTTTAGTTCTCATCGTAAAATTAATTAATTCAAATAAAAAAATAATACAAAACAAAAAATAATTTATCAAAAAATAAGTAAAAAAAAGAAATTTTTGTTATTATTAATTTCCTAATTATAAATAAGTAAATAAATATGACCAAATTAGAGAATGTGTAAATTGTTAAAATCATTTTTTTTCTTTAATACCATTAAAAATACAATTGGTCTTAATAAATCATTTCAAAATAAACATTTCATTTATAATTAAATTCGAAATTCGTGGATGCAACAAAATAAACAAAATAAAATAAAACAGTAATATACTATACAATTCTAAAAACATATAATGTAAACAAAATAATATAATTATGAATAGTTCTAAATAAAAAACAATATAATTCAGTTCTCGAAAAAAAGCAAAATACATTTAGGATTAAATGATTTCGTATGAAAATGTATTACTTGATGGTTGGTGATATATGAGCATAATATTCTGTTAATTAAGCTTGACTGAAAAGTACAAAACTTTTTTTGTTTATTTTCATTATTTATTATCACTTATTATTATTATTATTGTTATTATTATTATTGTTACTATTATCATTTATTATTATTATTACTATTATCATTTATTATTATTATTATTATTATTATTATTATTATTATTATTATCATTTATTATTATTATTAACATCGACTTAAATTGAATTGCCATCATTTCAGATTAATTAGTGAACAATTAAACTAAATGTTATATTACTAAATAAAGGATTATAAGAAGTAAGCTATCATTTTTAAATTAATTATTTGAATTAACAGAAGATGAATATGCTACAATTAGGATTAATTAACTTGGTGATACATCATTGACCAAACTGCTGATCAATTAAAATTGAGAAATAAAATTAAATTAATGAATTAGTATAAAAACTATTCAAAAGTGATAAGTGACAAGAGTTAACATGATATTTTTGTTTAATATCAATAGTTTCTCTTATTTGAACCAGGTCAAAGTGACAAAACACAAATATCTACTTTTAATAGAACGAGTAACCATTGTTTGCACTTTTTTTTGATCCTCTTTTTTGTTTCGTTTTCCTTTTTCCTTCAATTCTTTTGAATGATTTCAAAGAGTACAAGAAGATATGGTGATGCCTTTCACCGATAAGATGCCTCATGTTAACTTGAAGATAACAGATGACAAAACCTAAATGCATCTACCTATCTTTCAAATAAAATAAAAAGAATATCTTCTTTGTCACATCCTATCCTCTCATTTAGTATTTAAGGATGAAATGTACGAAGTGTCATATATATCCATTCAGTACGAATAACTGTTTAAACTCAGTATTTTTCTTTTTTTTTCCTTTTTTTTGTTTTGTTTTTATTTTTTCCTAATGTAAATAGCAAATCAGATGTAAGAATTGAAATGAAACGAATTATTCAAAGACAAAAAGAAAAGAGAAGAAAAAATTGCGGAATGTCACTGTCATTGAGACTAATTAGACTAACAATATGACAGTAGGATGATTTGTAGTATTTATCATGAACAGTGATATGATAAGGCATTTTTGTCAGCACTAATATCTGTTTATCACTTCTCATATTAAACGCGTATAAAATAATAATGATAATAGCAATGATATTGATAATAATAATAAATGATATTAAATAATAATAATAATAATAATAATAATAATAATAATAATAATAATAATAATAATAATAATAATAATATAATAATAATAATAATAATAATAATAATAATAATAATAATAATAATAATAATAATAATAATAATAATAATAATAATAATAATAACAATAATAATCGTATGATGCTACGATGATAAAGATGTCATTAGATTACTCTCATTGCTACTAATTATTATAATGTAGTTGAATAAATGATACTGTTAGTATGATATGATAAGATACTGTAACATACAGTAATTAGCATTAATGAATAAAATACTGTAGTTAGCAATTGGTTTGTTCTTTTTTTATCACTAGAGTAATTATTGTCAAGTTGATTGCTACATTTCTAATGCTAACTGTCATTATCATTCTATCATTTAGATGAAACTTTTGCTATCTTTTAACGAAGTAAAAAAAAAATCAATTTTTTTTTTATAAATCTTTAGTTTTTTTTATTGCTTAATAAATAAAAATTGGTATTTCTTTTTTGGTTTTCTTTCATTTTTTTTTTATTATTTTTTCCTTTTCAATATTTTACATTTGCAGTACTTTTTGCAAATTACAATAAATAAAAAATAAAATAGAAAAAAAAAATTGCTGAATTAAACAATTAACTTTCTTTTCTAACATATTCTGATTAACTTATCATTAATAAAACTTAAAATTACTGTAGTTTTAGTTTTCAGTTACTGTAATTAATGTTCTTAGTTTCCAGTTACTGTAGTCACTGTAGCCCTAGTTTAAGTTACTGTAATTACTGTAGTTTTAGTTTTCAGTTTTTTTTATTTTGTGAAAAATTTTAATTTTTGCAATATTTTCTTTTTTTTTTTCACTTCTGAAATCACTTCTGACAATTCTTCCTAATATATATTTTAATTTCAAGGACTGAATGCGATGAATTTGAAAGAGGATTTAATGTGTGATAAGGTAAAGAAAGTGATAAATCTAAAAGAGGAAAATATGGAACATTTATATCACTCTGATATATTTACTGAAACTGATATGAAACATTTTCGACTTGTTGCATTTATTGCTATTGCATTAAGTACTGTAACAATGTTAAGTTGTATTATTCTTATGCCAATATCTTATCAGTATGTTCAAAAAGTACAAAGTACTATGCAAAATGATATGGAATTCTGTAAAGTAAGCTTTCTTTATTTTTATTTTTTACAATTTTAAATTTCTTTCAAAAATATGACAAATACCGTTTTACTTATGCTACAATTTTTTCTTGCTATAATTTCTAGAAATTTGTTACTATTACAATAATATTAACTGCTGAAAAAAATTTTATTATTATAATAATTTTATTACTATTATAATAACCTTAACTTTTACTATTATGATTTATTACTGTTATAATTATATTAACTGCTGAAAAAGAAAAAAAAACAATGAAGTGCAATGCATAACAGTTTTATTATTATTACTATTACTATTATTGTTATTGTTATCATTATTACTATTATTATTTTTGTTATTATTATTATTATTATTGTTACTATTATTATTATTACCACTACTATTATGATTGTTATTAATGTTATTATTATTATTACTATTACAATTACTATTATTATTGGTACTTACTATTATTATCATCAAAATTACAGAGTCGTAACAGAGATTTTTGGACAACAATTTGGAATGTGCAACGTAGGAAAGAACGCAGTAGTGGAATTCGTTTTATTCGTAGTACACAATCGCAAAATAAAAATAATCGTTGGCTTTTTGGATATAGAAATGAGTATGAATAACAAATTATTCAATACCATTCAATCATTTATGAATTTTGAAACAAATTTATAAATTTATTCATGCATTAATTCATTCAAACATATATTAATTTATTTCAAAATTAGTAATAGTCTTAGGAAAAAGGAAATATATTTAATTAATTATTAAAAAAATTAATTCAAATGAAGGATTTTCAAATTTTCGAAAAAGCATAAATAAATGATTAATGATTATTGTTAAAAATTTGAATGAAAATGAATATCATCATTACTGCTAATTACTCTATCTGAAAACAAATATTTAAATTTAAATTTTAGCGGTGATAGTGCAACTTCGAATGTAAATGAATTATATCAAAATCATATGAGGTTGCAACAACCATACGGTAATGGTGCATACGATGGTGATGAAAGTAAGAAATCATCTGTAGGTGATGGTTATGATGGAATTTATGATGGTCGTCATGCAAAGAAGAAAGATAAATGTTAGTTAAAATTCAAATTTCAGATAAAAATGATTTTTTTTTTAGAAAAAAAAATAATCTTTATTAAATTTTTAATTGTTTTTAATTTGCAAAATTTATTTTAAATTCCAATATTTTTTAATTTACAATTTTTCCTTTGTATTCCTCTTTGCACTGCATATAGATATACTTATGTATTTACTCATTTAGTTAGGCAATAATTTAATTTATAATTAATTAATTGATCGACTTATTCACTCATCGTATCATTTAATTAATTAATTAATTTAATTATTTATTCACAATTCAGAAATTTAATTTTGTTGAAATATATAGGACATGGATTGAATGTATTATTGAAAATTTTTCCTTTTTTTTTTTTTATGAAATAATTAATATTTTGGATATGTTTTTAATTTTTAATTTTACAAATTTTAAATGCAACAATTAAATAAATCAAACTGGCTGACTAATTTTGAAATTTCCTTCAATTTATGTGATAGAATTTGAATTGAATATTGCAATTTCTATGTGAACAATTCAGGTTGTTGCCAGATTGGAGAACCTGGATTACCTGGCCAACCTGGTATTGATGGTGAAAATGGTCTGGATGGTCAACCAGGACCTGATGGAATACCTGGAGAAGGTTTAATTTTTTTATTTTCTAGTTTCATTAATAGATGGCTTAGAAAGAAGCATAGTGCATATAGAGTTATAAATATAAAATCATGTTCAGGTGTGGAACAAGATTATTCGGCACCAGTATTAGCACCGTGCATCAGAGAATGTCCACCAGGACTTCCTGGCCCACCAGGATTTCCTGGTGATAAAGGTCCCAGAGGGTATGCAGGTGAAATCGGTGAACCAGGAGTGCCAGGAAAACCAGGTGAAAAAGGTTTGCAGGGAAAACAAGGACCAAAAGGTCCACCGGGAATAATGGGTAAGTAATTATCTGTAATTAATAGCATTAATTATAATTAATACTTAATGATTTTATAATTATTGCTTAAATTTGAAAACAAATTTACATCTGAAATAGAAAATTGGTATAATGCAAATGAGAAGAGAGCTGCTAATATCATATATTATTGTTAAAAAAAAGTAAATAGAAGTAAATATACTTGCTATCATTGACGTAAGTGAATGCAAAATTTCAGGACGAAAAGGAAATAAGGGCGAAGCAGGGAAACGTGTCCCTAGTGTTGGACCAGAAGGACCACCTGGTCGACCAGGTGAAATGGGACCTCCTGGAATGCCGGGACCACCAGGTGAGAAAGGACAACCTGGTGGGAAAGGTCAAGAAGGTGCACCAGGTGATGAAGGAAGAGCAGGTTTGCTTTTTTTTTTTCCTCCATTAGAACTATACTTTATTTCAATTCGAAAATAAATGAATAAGCTATTTTGATTTTGCCTTTAAAGGATTATATGGGAAGCCAGGAAAGCCCGGTGCACCAGGGCCAATTGGAAAAGCAGGCGCAAATGGTGGTTGTGATCATTGCCCAAAACCACGATTACCGCCTGGTTATTACTTATAAAAAATTACTTCAATTAATGTTATACAATTCAAATTTATTTCATTTTTGCCTACTTTCATTTGTAAATTGTCAAAATGATGAATATTTTGTTACAATTTTAGTTTAAAGTAGGTAAATATATAAGTAAAGATGTAAGAATATAATTTATTCAAAGTATTATTTAGTTTTTTTTTTTTTTTTCGACAGGATTTATATTAAATTAGCAAATATTTTATTTTTGATAATATTAATTACCTGAAAATAAATTTTTGATGATATTAATTACCTGAAAAAAAAAACTTATTTATTCAAATATTTCAAACTCTTCAAATATTTCTTTTCTGTCTCCCCTTAGCAAAATTCAAAATTTTGCTAAATCAATGAATGATTTAATAAATATTGTAAAATTGATATCGAAAAAATTTTAATAACTTTTTGCATTTTATAATTTTTAAATAAAAAAAATGCACAAATTTTCAATTGTTCACTTATTTATTTTTTTTTTTTTTTTTTGTTTAAATGTTTATATCATTTGAATGAAAGAAATTTTAACTTTATCAAATATTTGATAATAAATATTTGATCGAATTAATTAACATTGCTATCAAACAAAATGAAATATTAGTTGAATATGCTTATCATTAGATTTTACTTTAAGATTTTTAATGGCATCATAAATTCTTATGGATTTTTTGAAATTCATCCCAAAAAAAAGATGTTAAATTTAATTTCTCATCATGACGTACAAAATTCACAATAATTGTTCCAATTATTCCTTAGATTTATTAAAATAAAGTTAAAATGAAAATTTAAAAATTTAGTTGAATAATTTAATCAAAAAAAAATAAATAAATAAATGATGATTTAATACAAAATTTTGTTAATTATTTGATAACACTTATGCATTTAGCACAAATTGTTTTTGTTTTCTTAAAAAACAAAAAATAAAATTTTAAAATTTTTCGTCACTATCAAGAAAATAAATCAAAATTAATATGTAATATACATGCAATATAGCAATGAAATATAATTTTAAATTTCAAATTAGAATTTAAATTTATTTAATAAATTACTGAAGTCTAAAATTTCAAATAAACAACGCAAACATTAATCATTTCAAAATTATAAATTTAAAAATGATAAGAATTGAAATTAAGTAGTTAAAAATTATAAATTTTTTTTTCAATTTTCTTGCATAAACAAAAATGACCAAAATTTTTAATTTCATAAAGAGAAAAGGAATTTTTATAAAAAATTTTTCACACAAATAAATAATTGGAAAAGGAATTGATTAAATTTGAATTGAATTCAAACAACTTTTAAAATCTTTATTACATCAAAGCAGAAATAAATTTGTCAATAAACATTTAAAAAAACACTCATATGAAATAATTTTTGGTATAATTTAAAAATATAAAAATATAATATAATTTTTTTTTTCAGAATAATACTAAAAAGAAATAGCAAAAGCGAATAACACTAACAATTATTTGTATTAATTATATTAAAGTATAATTTATTTGGTCATTGTGATAGCAGAAAAAATTTTCAAATATTTTTTTTTAAAAGTTTTTAAATCTGGAAAATATTAAAGTTTTTGGGCATATTTTGATGAAATTATCTAGGTAAAACATTGAGCTATATGATTAAAATTGAAAATATAATCTTGTATTCTTTTTAAAATTAAATTTAAAGTATGTAAACAAATAAACAAACAATATGATAAAAGTCACATTGAGTGAATGATAAGAAAATTACAAAAGCGATAGGAAAATAAATAAAATTTTGAGATAATATTTGAAATAGTTCGTATTGTTTGGACAACAAATAGCTGCTGGCAGGTAATTGAATACCTGTATCTTTTTATCAAATATATCAATATCATTTATCAGTACATCAATATCATTTATCATTATATCAATATCATTTATCAGTATATCAATATCATTTAATCATTTCTATGGTTTTGCTTCGTGTTTTAATACTTTGTAAATGTTAATAATAAAAAAAAGACCTAAATGTGAAATTTATAATTTTTTTTAATAATTATTTGTGCTAATTATAATAATAACATAAATTATGTTAAAGTTTGCTTTTTTTTTTTATTAAAAATTAGAAATTTAAGAAAGACACAAAATCTCGGCAATTTTCTAAAAATTTAAATTTTTATTTTGTGCTATTAGGTATTTTTGTAAAACAATCCTAATCTTTCGCAAATATAAAAAATTCTCTTTCTTATTAAATTGTCTTAGCTTTATTATTTTTATTTTATATTTGTAATTTTTTGTTATATAAAAAAAATAATAATAATTGAGAAAAAGGAACGAAAATTGTTAGCAAATATATTCTGATAATTTGTTAATTTAATAACTAATTGCTTGCAAATAAAAATTCATCAAATAATTTAAAATCAAAATATAATCAAAGTGGAATGACTTCAATGTTGGCAATGAATTGAAATGCTAAAAAGCACTGAAATTTAAAATAATAATGTTAAAATTAAAATCCAAATGCATAAAAATGCTTTAAAAATTTACATCCATTTTTTCATTTTCATAAAAAATTTCATTTCAATTAAATTTTTATTTGTTACTGCAATCATTGACGAATTTATTTTCAACAGCATTTCAGCATTTGTCCCAAATTGAAATTCAATAATTGTCACATGTCATTAATATCAAATTAAAAAAGAAAGAAAAAAATATTTTTTTTTGTCATTAGTACAACAATGATATCATATTGGCACAGAAATTCTCAAAAAACAAAATTCATTTTTTCTTTTTTTTTTGCTTTTATTATTGGTAAATGATTTTTTATCATTAACAAAACTCATTAAATCCGCGCTATTTCGATAATTTTAGAATAAAATACAAAAATGTGTTTAATGAGAAATAAGAAAATAAATTTTCATTTAATGCATTTTTTTTTTTTATTTTAACAATCATTTTGATTCCATTTCTTTTGTATCTTTGAAATTTCGTTTTGGTTTTTTTTTTTAAAAAAAAAAACAAAATTGAAAGAAAAAACTTTAATATTTCTTTTCGTTCAATTTCGTTTTTCTTTTTTTTTAAAAATGATTGAATAATTTTATTTTGTTTCAATCTGTCAATTGTGTATATGATGAAAAAGAAAAATGAAGTTTTGAAAATGAAAAACAACAAATAATTAAATTTAATCATTTATCAATCATAGATGAAATATTTAAAAAGATGAAAGAAAAAAAGATATAAACAATTGGAAAATATTATTGTCGTTTTTTTCTTTTCCTTTTTTATTTTATCAAAAAAAATTTGAGCAAAATTTTATTCAATCTGTTTACTACGCTATTAACAATTTATAAATATTTATGAAATTTGGTTTTTGACACATTCCATCGTTTTTTTGTTTTTTTCTTTTTTATTTTTGTTCTTTGTTCTCATTAAATATTTCATTTATAATTGATAAATATAATTAATGAATAATAAAATTTAAATTATTTATGCATTTATCAAATTTTTTCGTTTTTTAAATTTTCATTTAAAAATTTTCAGCTTCAGTTTTAAATTTGAACTTTCTCTTTTTTTTTGTAATAATTCATTTCATAAGTTTTAAATAATTTTAATCAAAATTTAATTATGGTTTTTTTTTTCAAAAAACCACAATTGTTGATGGAAAATACTGAATAATTTGGTTATGATTTTTTTTCTTATCTAACTGAAAAAGAAAAAGGAATTAAAAATAAAGAAAATTTTGAGAAAAAAAAAGTAAAATATTATGCATAATGATAATAATTTCGTTATTAATAAGTTATTATAATTATCATTTTCAAAACATTCAATTTCTAAATTAAAATATTTCAAATTTTGAAATGTATATAAGTGTGTCCAAGAACTGAAACGCATGCAAAAAATTAATTAATGCTAAAAACAAAATTATAATTAATTGATTGAACTAATTTTTGAACACAATTCTCATTGAGTTAATTTGTAAACATTTCTCTATCCGGTATATAATTTTCAATTTTCCGTATGCAATTTTCCGGTGAAAAAATTATCACTAGCATAATTAATTGATTGAATTAATCTTTGTTCACTAAGACTGAATTAATTTATAAACATTTCTCTATCCGGTATACAATTTTCAATTTTCCGGCAAAAAAAATTATCACTAGCATAATTAATTGATTGAATTAATCTTTGTTCACCGAATCTGAGTTAATTTATAAACATTTCTCTATCCGGTATACAATTTTCAATTTTCCGGTATTTATTCAATTTTATGCGCTACTAGTTGTAAACATCAATTAATAATTACATAAATGATAGTAATCTAATCTATCGATGATAAGCAAATATGTATGCATGCATATTTACATTACTGAGAGAATTAAATAATTCATTTTTGCGCTGTCAAATGAAATTTGTATTCGGCAACGACATGCTGAAGTAAGTGTTAGGCGTACTTTTATAAATCTATCAATTTCTTCCTCCTTTAAGCATGTTTGCTTTGTTAAGTTTATCGATCGAAAGTGAGAGATAATCGTTGAAGGAGATTGTGTCATTATCGAGAAGGGTAAAAAGTTAGAGGTTAACGATGAAGTTATCGGGAAAGATAAAGTTAGAGGTTAACGATGAAGTTATCGGGAAAGATAAAGTTAGAGGTTAACGATGAAGTTATCGGGAAAGATAAAGTTAGAGAGTAAAGATAAGATTTTCGGGAAATGGTGAAGTTAGAGGGTAAAGATTAAAGTATTACTAATTTATCATTATTATAAACGTTATAAGAGAATGATAGAAGGAGAAGATGGAGGTAAAGAAGAAATGTTATTGTGAATGGTTGGTTTTTGTTTTTTAAGCATTTTATTAAGCTAAAAATTTCTCATCGCTTTGGATTATTATTTCATTTCATCATGTGATCTTTGTATTTATTATATGTGAAATTATACGTACCATTTTGAATAATCTTTGTTTTTTGTTTTTGTTTTTGTTTTTTTTTTTTTTTTTTTAATTTTGATGGTAATTTTTTATTTGTTTAATTCTTCT